CGCCATCTTGGAGGGCACTCCCGGGTCGAGAGGGCCTAACGCACCGCGAGGACCGAGGCCGCAGTGGCCCGCCCGAGGGGGCCCGCCCACCCACCGGAGCCGCCCGCCCGGGGCCCGCCGCGCACCGGTTAGAACGCGTCTCGGGCTCGGCGTCAAGGAGTCCGGGTCCCGCGCACCGGTTAGAACGCGTCTTTACCGCGAGGACCCCGGCCGCCCGGGGGCCGCCGCCCACCCGGGGTAAGGCCGCCGCCGAGGTCGCCGCCGAGGCCGCCGCCCGCCCGGGGTAAGGCCGTCGCCGAGGTCGCCGCCGAGGAGTCCGCCCGCGCACCGAGGCCGCCGCGTCCGCCACACGCGCACCGGAGCCGCCCAGGGTGGTTCAAGCGCGTGGTCAAAGAATACAAGAGTGGGTCCCAGGGACTTAAGACACGCGTGCGAGCGCGCCTCCGCATCAGCGCTGCGCCCTGTCGGCGAATTAACGCACTAGTCAATTAATTAGATGAACAAGTCCTGGCTTGCTCGCTGCTCGGGCCATGGCGCCGCCGGCCGCGGCGCTACGCCGGGAGCGTCGGCTGCTGGCCGTGCCATGCCGCGCCGCCGGGGTCCCCTCCTCACACCACTCCCCCCTCCTCCACCCCTACTCCACTCGATCCGGCTCGAGCTGGCTTGGGAAGCGCGCGAACAAGTCCTCCCCACTCCTGCGTCGTCTGCTCTACCTGCTTTTGAGGGTACGGATTACATTATGAGGTCGAAAAAAGGTTCGCCCGAGCTGACACAAAGTGTCATTGAATTTTTACAAACATCATTACACATCTTCAACATGCAATCGTTGAAAATTCGGTTGAAGTGCCAATAAGCACTTTACCCCTCCCCTCTACCCCCGCGCTGCAGGGGAGCAGGACACGGCGCGTCGGCGTCTCGCTCCCGCTCAGTCGAGCGTCAACCGTTGGTGTCAGCAGTCGTGTCAAGATGAGTTACCGCAGACTCGAAAAGGACTTGTTTGACTCCGATGAGGAGACCATGGGGGTCCTGTACCTCAGCGAGTCATCGCAGGAGACTACGACATTCACCCTGGAGCTGCACCCCTCGGGGTTGATGTACGATGAGGTAAGTGCAAGTGATTGATTCGCGCGCCAAATCTTTGTTGCATCATCCTGTGATTTCACGCTATAGCGTCCCCCGTTGCGTCGCCCACGTTGATTCTAAGCTACTTTGTGTTGATCCCAAGTGTTTTTTCATTCAATAAAACCGCGAGTGATGAAGCTTGCGTCCTGCAGGCTCGCGCCGGTTGAGGTTAGGAGTCCTTTGTCTTGCTGCCGGCGTCGTGCTCGCCGCCCGTCGGCGTCAGTGTTTAATCACGGTGTGTCCTGCCTGTGTGACATGACTGTAAATTCAGTGTTCAATCGAGTGTCCTGCCTCACGAGCTCAGCTCGGCGCGCTCGCTGTTGACGTGTCGCGTGCCGCTCGCGGCCGCGGACTGGTGTAAGCCGGCCGGTATCTCGTTCGTCTCTCTCATTTTGTTCCTCATTTATTGATTCTGAGGTTAGGCTTTCGCCAATTTTATTGTGCCTTTGGCCGTTTACTAGTTAAACGTCACGATTTCTTTGTCACGACGCCAATGGCGTCCCCTCGTTGGGTGCGCGGGGGTTCCTGGAAATGGGGTGGTGGTGGGGGAGGGGACGCTCTCGCTGCTCAGCGCGCTATCTCTCTCGCACTCGCAACATAAAGTAACGATACTTTTTCTCCTACAGTCGTCTTGCGAGCCGAAGGCCGCCGTTCACGAGGAGGACCTCGGGGTGATAAAGGATGAGCCCCGGCCCGACGGTGTCATTGGTGCCGATATGGTAGGGGCCCCTACCCCTAAGGAATTGTCCAGTGAGGAAGCTGAGCCGGAATCCAAGCTTCACCCGCTCTCCATGCCACTCCTGTGGGCGGAGGAGGCCAATGATGGGGTAAGTAGAGACAGAACTTGGTCAGCGAAGCGCTTTTTACTGTGCGTAGCTAATTATCACTGATTGTTCTAGTTTTCCATCCCCGAGGTCAGGAAGACCCAGGGCTCCCCCCCGGACGCTGGCGAACTGGATGAGGGGACAGTGACGGCAGGGCGTCGTCGGGTGGCCCATCGCCCCAAGGCCCTGGTGGCCCCCGGCAACGCATCCACCGAGCTTCCCCGAATCGTAAGTTGATCAATTCACATCTTTCATTTAAAGTAAACATTCGACGTTGCGTCCTACTTTTGTGTTTAACGTTGCAGTCAGCCCTCTCTGCCCAACGGTTGGGGCCGCCCGTCAAAAAGGCGTGCTATGACCCCGTCCGCAAGGCGGTCCCCATGGCGGCCTTCAACCCCCGCGTAGAGGCCCCGGCCCCGGCTCACCAAGCTCAACACCAGGATCAAGCTCAGCAGCAAGCCCAGGCTCACCAAGCTCAACACCAGG